AGAAATGCACTCTACACAGCGTCACAAGAATTAGAGGTGTGACATTAGATGGGGTTTAGATTGGATTTATTGCACTCAACTAATAACTATATGTAATACAGCACTATCACTGATATACACAATTTACAGTTCACTGTCACACACTCGGGTTCTCAATCTTCTCTAGTTGTATCCTGACAGTGGATTTCAGCACAGTAATTGTACCAGTCTCACTGTAACAGCAGCACACATGAAGTCTGCTTTTCACAGCCCAATTTCTTTCTTGCCATCTCTTCTCAAGCATCTTTCACTGCCAATTCAAGAGACTCCCTCAATTATTCTTCAGCTGGCCTGGGATCCTTGTTACACGTGTATAACCTCGGGGCGGATGCAACAGACAAAACTGTTTCCATTGTTATAGCTCAACAATATACCTCTACTGTTGCTTGTTTATTCGTTGCCACAGGAACTTGCTTACCAAGCCAATGCCTAGCAACAGACGTCTCCTCTGGCTCCATTATTCCAGCCATCAGGTGTCATGTCACAATAAAAATTTAAAATTGCAGATGTCAATTTCTTTCTGCTCCCCAAGCAGAATGTAAACTGAATAAATAACAATCATACAGCAGTGAATGCCAATTTCTCATTTCTGAAACTCGTAATGTAATACAAGAAGATTACAACTAACATTTACCCACCTCTGTGAATGTCGTTGAATCACTAGCCATGAGAATGTGCTGAACTCTGTTGTGGAAATGCTGCACGGATTCTTCATCAACACGTATGAAACACTGGGCTGTTCTCTCTTTTGATTCATTCTGGAGATTCCACACACCATCCCGATGTGTGAATTCCTCATGAGTAGTTCGACACTAAAAACCATAGTATATCATAACTAGGGCTCGGATTTCTATGACATGTCATAATTTTATCCTGGCATCTTTTCACATGTATAATTAAATATAAACACATTTCTGACTCTTGTGAACATGAAAATACGGTTTTTATTGGTCATATAAATGCATATTTGAACCATATTTTAGCTTTAGGTCATATTTGGGCCCGAAGTGATATAAAATCATATTTTTGGTCATATTTTAGGCGAGTTTCACTTATTGCTCAGAAATATATTTGCAAGTATT